CTTTCTACTGGGGCCGCGCCCGGGCCGCCCGGCTGCCGCCAGAGCGGTCAGCGGGGCCATGCTGGGAGTGGGCGCCAGGCCTGCGACTCTCCCACCCTCCTCACAGCCCAGCCCGTTCCCACACGCCAGGCACAGCCCCCATACTTACTGGAGGGGACAGCAAAGGAGGGCACAGAGGCTTGTGGGGGCCCCCAGCCCTTCATGTTGTAGGCCGACACCTGGACGTAGTAGGCCGTGCCCTGCAGGGGACGAGGAAGGAAGAGGCCATAAATGCGACTGGAAAGTCTCTCGGACGCGTACCTCCCTCTGCTCCTGACCCTCGTGGGGGGAGAGGGTTCCTGCTGCCTTCCTACGCTGGCGTGTCCCCTTGGCACGACCCCCAGCTCCCCATGCGCAGAGGCAAAGGAACGCCAGAGCCCGCTGGCATCCGTGCACAGGCAGCCGCAGCACCGACATCGACCCACGTGTGCAGGGCCAGGTTTCTAGCATTACTGGTGGGGCCCAGAGTGGGTCTAAGTTCTGCCCCACGCCCCCACCTGAGGAGCGTTTTCCAAAGCACCTAGCTGCCTGCGGCTCACTGTGCCCATAAAACCCTTCCGCCCTGAGATGCTCCTGCAGCCGTCGCATCCGTGCACAGGCAGCCGCAGCACCGACATCGACCCACGTGTGCAGGGCCAGGTTTCTAGCATTACTGGTGGGGCCCAGAGTGGGTCTAAGTTCTGCCCCACGCCCCCACCTGAGGAGCGTTTTCCAAAGCACCTAGCTGCCTGCGGCTCACTGTGCCCATAAAACCCTTCCGCCCTGAGATGCTCCTGCAGCCGTCGGGGCCATCGGCACAGCCTCTTTCCAGCCCTGTCCTGAAGCCTTTCCCAGCACCCTGCAACTTCCCTTCCTTCCTCCCGCCCCGGCCACATGCAGATCTGTCGGAGCTCATCCTCACAGCCTGCCCGGCCGCCAGAGCCCCTCCCTAACCCCCCTTCCTGATGTCAAATAAAATAGACGTACTTTCATGAACACAAACGCTCTTTATTTAACAAAACTGGGGGGAGGGATGAAACTCTGGTGAGACTGGGGAAGTTGGTGGGAGAGGGGAAGAGAGAGGGTGAGAGAGGGGAGGGGGAAACCTGGGAGGAGGGAGCTGGAAGGGGGAAGCAAGGGAAAGAAAGGGAAGGGGAAACTCAGAGTTCAGGGTTGGGGGTCTTGCCGGACCAACTTGATTTTCATGCAGACCTGCTCCTGGGTTTGAATGTGGCCTTTGGTAGCCAGGCTGGCAGCTATCCTGCCATAGATGGCCGCGTTCCTCCATCTAGTGAGGAGATCATGGACGGTTGGGG